GTCTGAATACAGGGATTTCACTTTGTGTGTCTATCCTAGCACGTGCTTTTGTTTACTTCAGTGTACTGAGCAGTTTTGATCGCTGGGCATTTGGGGCCTTTTTTAGCTTAAATGGAAGAAATAGAGTCTGCATGAAATGAAGCCCCATAGCATTAACATTTAAAGCTAACAATAAAGTACAAAGTACAGTTTTGCAACAACATAGAGCATTCATCCTAAATAAGTACTTACTTTTTCTGCATGACGTCATATTTAAAAGCTAAATTTCAGTAGCAACGTTTTTTTGGTGACAATTCAATATTTTGTTCTTTTTGTGGGTGTTCTGTTTGTTTGCAGTCAGATGAGTGAGCCTCATAGCGGTTTGACGCTCAAATGTGCCAAGTGTGGAGTAGTTTCAACAACAGCTTTGTCAGCCACCACCGCCAGTAATGCCATGTTAGTCCTGATCATTTACATCTTCTTGTTACAAATCTTATACAGTGCATGTGAGACAATAGTCTGATGATGACAGCTGTGTTTGCTAACACTGTATAGAGTGCTGAGCACGATTAAATACTTTTTAACAAAAAAAAATAATTTGCAACTGTGATTATTAACTGAATACAGGATATTCTTTACAACATAAAGTATGACACTGTTACATTCTTGTCTGTGATTTTCAAGTTAACTTGATAAAATGCCATCCTTAAATATGTTTTATTTTAATAGTGAGCTTTTAATCATTTTTTACAATATCACAATGTTGCTTTTCTCTTTTTCAATAGGGCATCCCTTTGGAGTTCCTGTGTGGTGTTGCCACTTCTAGCCCTAACTTGGATGTCTGCAGTTCTGGCCATGACAGACAAAAGATCAATTTTATTTCAGATACTTTTTGCAGTATTTGATTCATTACAAGGCTTTGTTATTGTCATGGTCCATTGTATTCTCCGAAGGGAGGTGAGGAATGGCTTCCCAGTTTTCTAAAGGGCTGTGCTCCTGTTAATCTCTCAACTGCTCTTTAATGTTATATACAGCTTGGTCTGTGGAGATGTATTTCATAGAAAGAGAAAAATATTTTATGGTGAGATGTAGGGGAACAAGTGAAAGACAGAGGGGAACAATCAGTTAATTCCAGGTGCAGAATGTCGGTTTCAGTATAAAAATGTACCCACTTAATTAAAGGTGGCTTTTAATCAATCCAAGTTCAGTTTATTTTTAAGTGTTAGGCTTTCCCAATATTGTGAGTATAGGGAAATGCTAACATGAATGGCCTTTTCCTAAAGACCAAAAGCTATAGATTTTTACAGTTTCTAAAACTGATTCAAACACAAAATGGTTTCTGTTTATACTGTCCCTGAAAAAGGACAAAAGGAGATGATGTGTCATGTTGGTGAAGATCTACCCTTTCAGTTCTACAAACTCAGGTACATACATAAGGTAATCTACTTAAGTTATGGGGACAGTGAGGATGAAGACAGAGGAATGCTTTGAGAACAACAGGAAAAACTAGTACCCTGGCCTGCCCTTCACAGCTCAGTGTCATCCACTGCAGAATTCATCACCACTGAAATGTGATGTCAAAGTTACCACACAAGTGCTCTGTGGCTCAGGTGACAGCTTCTCTAACCCACCTAACCTGCTAACTAACCATACATTTTTATTGAGATAGGTTTGAGAGCAGTAATACAACAGCTTTGCTGGCGGATCTGTGGTAGTGGGACCATCTATCAAAAATGAGCAAGAGGAGCCAGATTGGAGAGCAGTAATCTGGTCCACCGGCATACCAATGTGTTAGCCGTTTATCAACTTCAGGATATTTACCACAAGAATAAACCAAATTACACTGTCTAGCATGGTTCCTTGTGATTGGCAAGAGTTATTCAAAAGCACTTCAGGATTAGAAAACCAGGAGGTGTTTCAAGAAAGGTTTATTGTCAATGCTGAGTGAGGAATCTCACACAGTGGTTTCCCTTTGCACCATTCACACTCTTTAAACAGTGAAACGCACTATATGAATGAAAAAGAATTATAAGTGATGTAATTTATTTCAGTCTTTCAGTAGGGTACCACTTTGCATGAAATTTGTATTATTATGCTACACAGTATGCATGTGTGATTATCTTATCAAAGAATTAAGTTTTCAAATTTTAAGGAAAAAAAACTTATCAAGATCTTGAAGAAATCAGCATCTTCCATTATGCTGATTCCATCCCACTTTATTCAAGCTGTTAAAGGCTATGAGCTTTTGTTTTTCTTGGTTTATCAGCTTTCACAGAAGGCGGCATTCACATCCTTTAATAATTTATCTTTTTTTCTTTTTCTTTTTTTTTTTTTGGATAAAAATATGTGCAGAATAAGAGAGAACACTCAAGACAGATCTATTTTACATAGAACTGTCTTGCTATCACCTTATTTTCTACAGCATTTTCTTATCCCTATATGATTTACATCTGTGAAAGAGCGTGTTCTCATCTGTAGAACTGAAAGCCATCATTTCACATATTATTTTGGTAAAACGGTAGGACACTGCAACTATTTTCAGTAGAAAGATTGGCAGTTCTATGCTGGTTTTGCTGTCTGTGAAATTTGTGTCTCCGTTGGGATATTTTAATTAACTTGGATTAATACCACCTCCCACTTACTGTTCTGAGTAACTATTTTTATTTTAAAATATATACCTTCAGCTCAAGGTTGCAGATGAAACCTTCAAAAACAAAGTAGTATAAACAGCATTATCTTTCATAGATTCATAGAACAGCTCAAGTTGGAAGGGACCTATACGGATCATCAAGTCCAACTCCCTGCTCCTTGCAGGACCACCTAAAACTAAACTGTATGACTAAGAGGGTCATCCAGATGCTCCTTGAACTCTGCTGGGCTTGGTGCTGAAACCACTTACCTGGGGAGCCTGTTCCAGTGACCAACCACACTCAGTGAAGAAACTTTTCCTAACGTCCAGTCTGAACTTTTCCTGACGCAGCTTCATTCCATTTCCTCATGTCCTTTGTGAGGATATAGTGAGGTTGCAACATATATCTGGTTAGCAGTCATTGATTTTGTCAAAATCCAGATCAAAATCCATGAAAAATTCTACAACACAGCATATCAATTTAGACAGTAAAGCCTGCCTCAGTGCACTAATGCAGGAGTTTATTTGGAAAAAAAAAATTATTTTGACTACTTAAGTTGAATGGTCATCTTCCCACAATGTCCCAAGCCTTGAATTCAAAACAGGTTCCCTACTCTAACGACAGCTATTTGCTGCAAATGCTTCGTTCCCAGGAAACGCTTAAATATTGCTGAACATCTCATGGAAATTCTTGTCTGACCCTACTCACAGGGAGGACTGTGGTGACAGAGGTGGAATTAGTGTTTTCTGTAAGTAAACTCAGTTTTCAAATTTGTAGGGTACCTTGACTTGAACCACTTTTAACTCACTGTTTCTAGTGCAAGCAATACACAAAAATATCTGCTTATAAAGATGTTTATATAGGGATTTGGAATTGTAATTATTTCTGTGTAAGCAATCAGCTAGTTATGGCTTATTTTATTTGCTGCTCTTTTAGCAAATCACATATAACTTATCTAACTGCAGAGAATCATTACTTTGTTTAACTGCTTAAAGGAGTTGTTGTCGCAAGCCAGTCTTGGTAGTTGCACCTCCTGGTCCTAACACTGAAATTCTGGGAGAAAGGCATTTGATAACACAGCTAATCAGTCTGTCTACGTGGTATTTTAAAAAATGACCTCATGAGATTTCCCAATAAGGCCAAAAAGTTTGATAAGCTCATCCCTTATCAATAAAGGGAAGGAGTTTTTTTCTTCAGTGATGACAACTTAGGTAGAAGTAAATGTACAGGGACAACTTATTCACTAATCAGCACATTATCTCCAGTCAAAGTGATGATAGTGGTCATGGTGGAAGACAAAGAAGCCTAGGCATATTGCTGTTTGAACTCCATTTGGCAGAACACATTGAATCTTCTTTAATCCTCCAGATTTAAATTGTAAACTGGGCAAAACACTTGAGGAACTAATTAAGGTAATTCTTTTCATATGGGAAAAGAAAATGAATAGAATGGTCTTCAAGAACAGCAGAGACGTGAAAGTTGATGCACTTGAAACAATTTTTGTTTCAAAAATGTGTATAGACCAGTATGTACCAGCAAAGTCATAACTGTTTACTGCATCAAGTTGCTACACAGTAAGTTATGTTTCAGTCTGGTTCTAGAGCCTGTCTTTCTACCTCCAGAGACTCTTAGGTGAGTACAAGCCAAGATAGTGGCCATCACACGGTGTGCAATGCAGTCTTTGCACTGCACAGGGTACCTCCCCAGCTGAAAAAATTGTTTCTTTCTGTTGTCTGCAAAAGCTTTTTGCTCTGCCAGTGCCTGTCAGGGAAACCCTGCTAACATATTTGTCACTCTTGATGACAGCTACAAAGCTAGCTCAGTTATAGCCTATGGGATGGATCTAATATTTATAGCGTGCCAGCACAGGCAAAACAATAATTCTGACTGTCAGGAAAAAAATATGGGGTGGAATGTATCACCATAAAATTCAAACAAAGAAGAGGATAGCCCTGCTTCACTATGCCTTTATTGTCATTACATTACAAAAAGACATAGACTTTTACAATTGTATATATAAAATCCCAGGTTTTTCTCTTAGTTATATTGATATAAACATAAATGATGGAAACATTTTTTACTTTCTCTAGTATGCTATGTCAATGATCTTGTGTGACAAGGGCTGCATTAGGAAGCCAAGGAGGTTCATCAAGTAAGACATACAACTAGAAGATAATTAAATGATGTGTTGTGTCCGTTTCTGTCTTTTGGAAATACATTAAATCTTTCTATACTTCCATTTCCTAACTTCTAAGATAAATGTACTACTTATTAAGCATGATACCTTCTATAGACCATTTGTAAATTAGGAAAGAAAAATGCAAAGATGTAGGTGTTATTGCTTTATGTTGCCTTCTTAGTTCAGAGAGCCTAGCATTATTTTTTTTCTCTCTTCTTGCTGTTTAAATACATAATTGGGCATGGGAAGATGGTGAGGCATGTGTCACAGAACAGAGCATAATAGGAGAGGTTAGTGCTGAAGCTTTTCAATCAGAGCAAAACAGTTTGCCTGACCTGCTTGAACATGAGATTGTCTAAAGCTAATTTGAATCACACTGAGTAACTCCCGTTAAAGGTGGTGATGGGAGGAACCCACATGTGTTTCTCCTTTTGCTGTGCTCTGCTGACTAGAGAGCATTTGGATTAAATGCATCATTGGTGTCTAAAGCTCACATTTCTGTACTGCAGGAGAAAAATAAAGAGTGCATGAGTAGGGAGAGGGTAAGTTTTAAAAGCTCGGAGTTGGTTACTGTTGCTAAGGAAACCACTTCCCTGGTATCTGCATGTTCATCACATCTGTCTCTCCTGCTCTGCCTGGCTCTAAGAAAATCTTGTAACTTGATGTTAAAAGGAGGAGGGAGACACAAGATTATGTTTCAAAGCAAAATGTAATGACAGCACAGTCTTTAGATACTCAACAAGTTTGAACAAGCAGTTTACAAAAATAAGCTGGTGTTTAGAAAGTTCAACCTTTTTGCTTCTGACTTGTGTGAGGACACCTAGAAGTTGCAACATATGCTAATATGATGGATACAGCTACGTTTGACATTCTGTTAACATGTTCAAATCATATGCTGCTTGCACTTCAGAAACATTGTAAGAAATACGCACACTAAAGAGGATCTTAACATCGAGCTTCACCACTTTAATATAGAAGGTCATGAAAATAGGACATGAGATTCTTGACATCTCTAGAGCTATCTGAACTGGGGAAGCTTCATGAACTTTAGAGTCCCAAAAATAAGGAGGGTCACTGCATAGAATGAGAAGTCATATGGTGTGATCTGAAGTAATAATGCTTTAGGGTCAGGCATCATGAGGTTTAAGATGAGATTCAGCACAGCTGGGCATACTTTGGAGGGAGGGATTTTTATTTTATGTTTTTGTCGAATCACTGTGCCAGTGCTTATCCAAGAGCACAAAAGTCTGAAGTGTGACCTGACTTCAGAATTGATAAAGTGAGAGAAGACTTGGATTAAATTTGCAACAACTAGGAGATGCCAAATTAAAGTAATGTCAAACACATGGAAAACCACGGCAATTGTAGTGCTTAAAATCAGAATTTGAGTCATGGTACAGGTCAATCACACTGCATTATCCTACCACGTGTGGGAAGTCTCAGTGTCTTGAAATCAATCCAAACTTTTCAACCTTGTTTCATTCTTCTTTCTACTCTGTATTAGTCTTCCTCCACCTGCAACACTCACTTAATCAAGACCGCAGAGCACTCTTACTCTTTTAAGGGCTGAGCACTTTAAAATAATGCTTCCTAATTGCAAAAAAAAAAAAAATAATTTTCTATTTCATTTTCCTTTTTGTGAAAGCTCTTAAACAGCTTGCAGTAGAATATGATGTATTGAAAGGGGATGCCTTTTCATCAGCAACAATTAATGAATTATCCTCTTCTGCTGTTCACAAAATGTCCATGAGTAGAGTACAATTTTCTCCCTTTTAATTATTCTGAATAAGACATCAAGTAATTTCTACAGATAACAAATGGAATGTTGGGAGTATTCATTTCATTGAGAGTATTTTCATATTCAAACAAGAAATGATACTAGTTTGTTTTGGTTGGAGGTCACCCAACTAAGTTTATGTTTTCCAAGTCACATCTTGAATCAGGTTGCAAATGTGGATATTTGCATTTCTGGAATGAAAAATCACATTTTAAAACTTAGATTATATTGCTATATTACAATGCATCTGAGGATACATATAGAAGTGAAACAAATTAGGTTTTGCATTTAAAGAAATATTCTCTGCGTACCTTTAAAGTATTGGTAAAAATATTCCTTTCCATTCCAAAAGTTGCCTTGCTGTCCCTACTATGATATGCATAAGAAAGCAGCAAAATGTATTTCCATTCTACTGTCAGCAAACAGGAACTGCATTTCTCTTTTGAATGTGACTCTGGTGAACCACATCTTTCTGACATAAGTGTTACATAATAATATTTCTTTAGACATATATTGTGCCCAAAAATCAAATTAAAAAAAAGCCTTTCCTAGGAAAAGATAATTCTTCAAATATACTACTGCTTTAGAGACAAGTCTTCAAATTTACTTTATGGATCATATTAGTAAATAGTAATTTCTGAGAAGTTCCTTTTTTTTTTTTAGTTTCAAGAAACAACTCTGTGCAACAGTCCACTTTTCTTCTTGTTGTGCTCACACTGAAGATATTTACCTGGTCTGAAGAGTTTTACTTCTAGAAGAGATGCATGAGATTCTCTATACATGGAGTTAGAGCTCATGATTGGAATCAGTAATATCTTTCGAATTGGCTTATTCTTTAAAGTTTAATTAGGATAGCACTATGATTCTGATTATAGTAACTGTTAAGAACTGGCTTTCAGGAATCTTACATCAAGCAGAAGTAACATTTGATTTTACAATGCTTAATAGTTTATCTGTTAATCCTGCTATAGGACCTGTACCAAACTGAATGAGAAGACAAAGCCAAATACTATCACCAAGACAAATTTGACTTGAGTACCAGATCGTCACTGACTACTAGTTAATTCTGTCCATAGGCAAATCTAATTCTGTGGTCTAGCTCTGATAGACTGACAGATTTTGCAGCAGCCAAAAAATATAGCAAATATGTGAAATGGCAGAAATAAACATTTATGTTTACTGCTTCTGATTTAGTAAGTATTCTAAGAAAGAAAGAAAAGTCATGCCTTGAATTTCATACAGTTTAATTTAATCTTTAATAGGAGAAGAGTATATGAAGTTACACAAGAATCAGTATAAGATATTGTTTTCACAGGTTCAAGATGCATTCAGATGTCGACTGAGAAATTGCCAGGATCCAATCAATGCAGATTCTTCAAGTTCTTTTCCTAATGGACATGCTCAAATCATGGTTAGCTTTTATTTTTTTCTTTGACTCTTAATTTAGTGTTCCTATCCAAAAGAAAAATCTTACATTACTGTACATGGCAAGTATGCACAGCTGAAATATTAACAATTTTTAAGTGTAAGTCTGTTTAGGTTATTATCTGCTTGCTTAAATCTCTTAGCAAGTTTAAATTATTGGTGTGCTCATTTGGTGGAGCACAGTGAATTCGTGTCTTCCACCAATGTTCTTTATGACAAAAGATTCTTATGTAAGAAAATAAGAAGGTAATCTAATAATGTATCATGAATTTTCCTACTGTTAGTATAAAAAGCACTGATACACTTAAAAGCATTCTTTTCATGAGGATTTGAAAAATGTTCCTTTCAAACTAATTCAGACAAGGATAAAGTGCTAGAGATTCTAGAGGGGGAATCTATTTAGTGGCTTGAATCAAGGAGATAGTGGATGGCTTACTATGCCAATTTGGATTTGCTAATATTGTTAGGTAGTATATTAAGAGAAAATATCAGTCCATTCACTTTCAATGACAGTTTGTCATTGACTATAATGGGAACAGGATCAGGCCATAACAAAATGCAAGGCTCAGCAAGCAGATGCCCTTCAAAAAATGATGGATCAAAAAAAAACCAATGTAGGGACTTCACTAGCAACAAGGAGGTCAGTTTTAATAAACGTCTTTCATGTAATAAAGTTTTTGTGGAAATAAAAACAGAATTTAAAATTATTTTAGTTCAATAACAGGATAAATAGTTTTGCTTAACTGGGAAAAGTGTGCTTGGACTTTCAACAGTTAAAAGTCATTCTTAGCTCTTACAATTTGGTTTTGCCAAATTAAATAAACAATAGTTTTCAGGGAGTACAAACTTTACATGATTTCATTAGTAGCAGGGATAGACAGAATGTTATATAACAAGTGACCACTTCATAACAAATTAATGAAGTTTCAGACAGGGTTCACTAAAAGGATTACACTTATTAACAGTAACTTGTATTGCAGGCTATTTTCCATACTTCTCTTTATGAAATTACTATGAAAAGTTTCCTTAAAGATGATCCTTCCATGAGATGTAGAAGTTTCTCTTCCATATACATAAAAAACCTATACACTGTATCGTTTTATTAAAATTATATACTCTACTTCCACCTATTTTATTTTATTTTTTCTGGTCAGGCAGCATACTTTGAAAACCACCCAGTTATACTTTAGGAAACTTTGTAAAGCTCTGCTGTTGTAAAACAATACACTTCACCTTCTCAGCAACAAGAAACTACTTTTAAGAGACTATGACTCTGTAAGTAGGACATTTTGGAAGCGCTAGTTGGCAAAAAGGTATTGTGGTTTAGTTTTCAATTAATAATGGTTGTCCTGTTCCATTGTTTCTTGTTACAGACTGATTTTGAAAAGGACGTGGACATTGCTTGTCGGTCAGGTAAGAACATTGAGAGAGTATTTGGCCAACAAAAAGAAGTCTTGTACTAGTTTCTTGTGAGGTGAAAACCAGAAAAATAGTAGCATTTGATTATTTAGAGAACATATTTATAAATGAAACAAAGAAGCAAATCAGTGATGCCACTATATGAATACCTTTATTTAATTTTCTTACAAGAGCCTTTTACTGGAATTCAGCAGTTGGGAAGCAGCCAAAGGTGTGATTGTCTATTAGGAGGTAAATGTTTTGGGAAAGATCAGTCTTGACACACAAAACTTTCCTTGCCCTGGTACACAAACAAATGTGAACCAGTTCATAGGGGGAAAAAAAAAAAATTATCTGTCTTAACAGCTATGTATATGAAGGATGCATCAAGTGGTGTTAGTTTTAAAAAGGGCAAGTCGTTTAGTGAACTTAGCAACTCTAAGTGAAATCAACAGTAGCTTAAGCATTGTGGTATCAGGAAAATGAAATTTAATTCCAATTTGATTCCACTTTACTGGAACAAGTTGGAGTTTTTTAAAGATATTTCAGTAGTGTGATCTTTCATTAGTCAGTTATGTCTGTTTCTGCGTATTAAAAATAACACATTTTAAGCAATTTATTTGCGAACCTTGCTTGAATAAAATACAGTGTAAAATAAATGACCATTTAAATGCTATAGAAACTTTTAAATCTGGGAGATATTCCCAAAGGACAGTTTTTCCTAGGGAGGCAATGCTGCCTAGAACTCTTTCAGTTTTGAATGAAGAAAGAAAGAGAGAGAGGGTGTCCTCTACACAGGGTGAGTCAGGGCAAGAAGCCCGGCTTAGACGTTCTGCATCACCCACCTGAGGGACACTGTCTCTCTCTGCTGCCTATATGGGGAGCCAAGAAGGCTGATCACATTGAGGTAAAGTTTGAGTTTCCAGTCACCCACATTTAAAAAGCTGTTTCTTGCAATATGGTAACAGTTCTTCCACAAAGATCAGTTTTAATATGCACATGTATTTTGAAGGGAGCAGGATAGTACATTGTAACACAAATGCATGTCTGACACCCTCCAATGCAGACAAAAGTCCAGTGTTGGTCCCTGTAGCTCCCATTTTTACCTTTGCCCACACAGCTCTGCAGTACAGAGAGCATTGTCAGGGGCATCCCTAAGGAGATGAGTTTTGAATACAGTTGTGAACAGGCTTTACTAGATAGATATTTAAACTGAGGTCCTTTTAATGTAAGGTTTAAGAACAGGTCACTGATTGAAGTGTCTTAACAATGTGACTGGAAACAATGACACAGCCGCACTTAAGTTGGGTATTTGTGCACTGTTGTTTAGAGGCAAATCATTCTTTTGACAATGGAAAAATTCAAGGAAGTTTTGTGTGAGGTGGGAGAGTGGGATGATTTATGTGCTGCTTGTTATGGAACATGGCAATGAACTGACAGCTGCCTGGGGATCTGGGTCATCAGAGCCCTCAGGCTACCAAAAGGGATACTTCAAGTTTTCTTACTGTCTCAGCCCATGAGCTGGATTTTATTGCACAAACTAGCACTGGTGTGAATTAAAATATTTTCAACCAGGACAAGAAAATCCTTGCACCCAGCTGGAATAAGCCCAGTAACTGGTTACTTTAATTTTTTTTTGTTACTATCTATCCTTTTTCTTTCATTACAAATGTTGACATATAGACTTATAGTTATTTTTTAAGATCAATGATTGTGATTGAATAGATACTTTGCTTCCTTCAGTGCTTCCAGAAATTTTGTATTCTATGACGTGATTAATAACTTTTACATGTGGAGCTTAGCCCAACAAAAAATTGCTGGATATTGCTACACATTTGACCAGGAAGGCCTAGGCCTACACCAAAAGTGGTTTATGACTGTTTTGTGAGACATGTTTATATTCTTTATAATCTTTCCAGATGCAGCAAAATATGTCTTTCTTATACCAATAGAATTTCTTCCCAATGTGGTTACTTTTCTGTCACTTTTATTTAAAAATTTTTTAACACGGAAGAGTTTTAAAAAGTCAATGAAAAGGAACATTTAGGAGCTCAGGAACACATGTTCATAGTTATAATCTTCTGGTAGGTCATTACAACAGATTGACAAAATGATTCTGCCTTACAATCTGTTTGACATTTTCCAGGAGGTTATGTGGAGTTAATAATGGCAGTACAGATGTCGTAGTGTATTGTTTTGGAAAACCCTTAATTGAGTTCCACATGGCAGCCTTTTGCTTAAGCTGTAGGTCACCCAAGATCTCTGTAAGGTACTAGGAATAAATGAAGGAGTGTTTTAATTTATATAAAATAACTGAGGCTAAGTCAGAGATCTCTTGTCAGTTATACATGGTAGGTTAAGAGGTATTGATTTAAAAAAAGGAACAAACAAAAACAAAAACAACAACAACAAAACCAAAACAAAAAACAAACAAACAAACAAACAAAAACCAACTTCCCAAAACAATATTTATAGAATAATAGTTTTAAATGGATAGAAAAAGAGTTAAGAAGATGCACTGATAAAGGGAATGCTACTAAGTAAACCCACAAGAAAAAGCAGTATTAGGCAGACATGGATTCATGTTGTAAGAATTCTGTTCTCTGACCCACAGTTCTGCATAAAGACATTGGACCTTGCAGAGCAGCTACTATAACAGGAACACTTTCTAGAATTTCACTAAATGATGAAGAGGAGGAGAAGGGACCAAACCCCGAAGGAATGAGCTATTCTACCTTGCCTGGAAACATCATCTCCAAAGTCATCATCCAGCAACCAACAGGTCTCCACATGCCTATGAGTATGAGTGAACTGGCCAATCAGTGCTTGAAAAAAGACAACAGTGAGTTGCGGAGGACTGTGTATTTATGCACTGATGATAATTTGAGAGGTGCAGATATGGACATAGTCCATCCTCAAGAACGAATGATAGAAAGTGACTATATAGTCATGCCCCGGGGCTCAGTAAATACCCAGCCATCACTGAAAGATGACAGCAAAATGAATATAGGCATGGATACATTGCCTCATGAAAGGCTGTTGCACTACAAAGTTAATCCTGAATTCAATATGAATCCCTCTGTAATGGACCAATTTAATATCAATTTAGACCAGCATCTTCCCACCCAAGAACATATGCAGAATTTACCATTTGAGCCCCGCACAGCAGTGAAGAATTTCATTGCCTCGGAGCTGGATGACAATGCAGGATTATCAAGAAGTGAAACTGGATCCACAATATCAATGAGCTCTTTAGAGGTCAGTGATGCATGAACAAATTGCATGGTCTGGTGTTCTAATTTATGACAAGACAATAATTTGTGCCTTGTGTCTAAGGGGTGAAGTTAATGTTTTAATTCAGTATAAATTATTGTTTGGGGTTGTACACGGCTGTTCATATTTCTCTAGTTATCAGAAGTGTTTATACCTAGAAAACAAGATTAAAGTTTCATAGTCAGTCTGTATGAAACTGTATAGTTCTGGAGATTTAACATTCCACACAGCTGCAAGTGATTTCATGACCTACCAGGTAAAGTACACTGGGAAATACTGTGTTTCTATGTGAAGAAAAAATATTCCAGCAAGATACACATGATAATTATTAACCCTACATGCAAGCACGTGCAGTGGAAAATATTTGACATTTTATTGCTGACAATCATATCTGTCTCAGATATGATATATCTGATTCTGCTGTCACTAGAGTAAATCTTGGATTCTTCCATCCAATAGTTCACCATCTACTGATTTATCTTCTATACACATTTGCATGCTTGCCTGTGTGTGCAGGCATTGGTACAACCAATGTCTGGAATAGGTGCAGGTGAACTGCATGTGGAGTATCCTAGATTCCAGACAGATTGCAAAATTGAACCGAAAAGCCTTTAAAAGGGATTCAGTTCATTACTACAATCTGTCTGGGAGATTTAAACATTATAAGTTATAAGCTATCTAAGTGTTAAATACTGCCATTGTTATTGAGCCTTTACTTATGCAAAACCACCAGTGAAGTGGAATTAATTTCATACTTGGGCCTCCTCCTTAAGAACTGGAATTATATTTCACCAGCTTTTCAAATGTTATGCAATGGAGCATTTGGTGAGAAAGTAAAAGAGAAATGAGAAAAATATAGTACTTACTCGTTCTCTGAAAGAAATTACAAATGGAAAAAGATTCTACTGTATGTGTAAACTTGAAGCCATTAGCTATTGTTCTACAACGTTTGGACCCATCGGTTTAGGGAAGTATTAACTTTACCTGATTTTTCAATTGTTAGACACAGAACTGTAGACAATATTTTGTAGAATAGGAGCTACTTGTGGATGTTTCTTTTAAAATAGAATTGAAGTTTTATGTGTGTATCGACTGGAGAGTTTGGGCAGAAGAACAGGACTTATTTTCTTTTCAAGAGATGTCTTTACAAGCCTTGAAAGTGAATTATTTCCCTTGCTGTTTATATTGTCATGATTTTTTACAAGACATAATTTAACTGAAAAATGAAGTGTGGGGCTCCGCAAATAATCTAATAGTACCCACTTTTTGTTTGTTGTTAAAGTGAATATGTATAATCTTGGGACAAATTTTCAAAATTATTACTAAAAGGTAGTGCAAGTGCTTGCCCACTCAGTGCTCAGACAGACTGCCTCATTCAAAGCAAATTAATTAAATTAATTAAAGAAGTTACTGCCCTCAGCTCAGGTATATTAGTTAACAGATCTTAGGTGGTGCACAAGAGTTCTTCTCCAATTTAATGCAACCTCAGAAGCAGGATAGCTGAAGTCACCTTCCAGTAGTATCCTCTCCTACTTATCTACAATACCATCTTTCAGATACTTTTTGTCAGATACAGAGACTCAAATCCAGCCCAGTTAAGATTAGACATATGGGTGAGATATCTAGGGAAGGTTCACAATTTCTTGAGAAAATAGATATACCTACCTCCCTACCATCCACTCCACCTGAGGTCTGAATTTCTCTCTGGTGATGCCTCTTTCTTTCCATTGGTGATAAAGGCCATCTATAAGACCTCAAAAAAAGGAGACCTCATTTAGCTGTAAAAATTGGGACAAAAATTCGTCTTACACAGAATTCTAATTCCTGAGGCCACTTTGGAAAGTATGCCTAAAAATCTATGCTTATTATGTACCGGTCCTTTAGATTTCATTTTTTTAACCATATTTGTGTCATATTTTAAGCTTACCTTTCAGGTGAGATATAGATACGAAACCTGAATCACCATTCTGTGTATCATTTTTATGTTCAGCAGAGACTACTAAGTATGTAGTAGCAGAAAATGTAGTCAAATACAATAAAATATTGTAGTAAATGTTTAGTCTCTTCTAACTTGGTAAACATATTGGCTTTAGAAAGCTGTATTTTTGTCCAGAAAGCTGTAAACAGTTATGTTATTAAACCCAACTGAACCCAGCATAATTCCATGTATTAGGAAAAAACCCAGATATTAGGGCAGATCAGAAATGAAAGGAACTCTCTTGGCTTTTGTGTCTGCCTTTGTGGTTCTCAACACTACTTGATTATATAGCATTCTTCTTTTGATAAGGATGTGCTGCACTGAGTCGAAGATAGGAACATGAAAAAATTGTACACAGAAGAAAATCAGTCTCAAGCAGATCCAGATAAGCAGATCCAGCCAGATAAAGAATGTGATTGCAAGTTTATGTATACAGTGTGTAAGAATCAAGAGTGGAGGTAAAGCCCCAGAATGCTATTGGCTAGAACTGAGCAGCTGGATTAACTTTTACTGCTGCCATAAACAAAATAAAAAGGAGAGGGCAAGGGAGTTTTTTCAAAATACTTCCGATGTACAGTACAATATAATTTTAGGAGATTTCAAGACCTTTCAAAAGACGAGGCCTTGTCAGACACTATGGAGCAGCATAACCTGCAGCAGGACAGTGAAGATCATTCTGCCCACGTTTTTGCAAGCAAAGCATGACCAGGCCATTTCTAAAGGAGAACATCTTGAGCAGTGGGAAGCCTGTTTCTCCTGTCAGATCATACTGCTGTCCCACCCAAATCCCACATAAAAGCACATGGAATTCTGCCTTATAGGGGCAGTTCCCCTTTCACTTCTCTGAAGAAACAGATGTCCCAAGACAGGTGGTGGAGATCTCCTTTTGTGTCTTCTGCATAGTACAGAGATTTGGGTTCCTCCACTGTTTTCCACTTTATGTTTCCAGGTGCTTTCTCTGAAATTAGCATACTACTAATTTTTACTGTGTAATTATACAATAATTATCAACTAATGTGTAAGTAAAATGCACTTAGGCAGTTGTGACCTGTGTTAACACAAGTCTTCCTTTTTTTTTTTTTTTTTTAATTTAAGGTCAGTAATTATTAAGAACATAATAATGGGAATAGCTTATGCAGCAGCTAGAGAATGTATCATCTTATTAGCGTATGTTAAGATGTCATGTGATGTTTTTTCAGCCGAGATCCAACTCAGCTTCTAATTTTAGAAACGTAATTATGAACCCACAAACACCTCTAGCCACAAAAATACTGCAGGCATAACTGTTTGCACTGGACATCCAGTAAAATACAATATATTGACATACATATAACAGTTCTTATTTGTTCACTTATTTTATGGTAGATGCTAGTCTTTATGGCCATAAAACTGGTGGAATTAGAGCAGAATTAGAAGACAATTCGGAAAATAGAAACCCTATGTTTTTTCACATCATAAAATAAAATTATTTCTTTTAAATTTCATTTCCATCTTACAAGTGAAACACTAAAGTATTGTGTTTCAAGGAACCAGTTTGCAGAAATATATGCATTATCATTCAAAGAATTCAATATGTTTGGAAAATTTAGCTTTTGATGACATCTTTACCATCCGAAATTAATGAAATAATTTATTTTATGTATTTTGCACATTCCAGGAGACGATCAGCCCCTAGAACAATATGTGTCTATTCAAATCATTTAAAAAATGTATCTAGAAATAAACACATAGCCAAAAACCCAAAGCTATTAAAAGTGAAGGCTGAAATGTCAGGTCTTTTTCATGTTCTCTTTTATTTAGACATTGTATTCATTATGATTATTGGAGATGGTTGCTTTGGAACACAGCTATAGTATCAGCACAGTAACGTATGTCCTGACTTTTAACTCCGCAGGGAGGATCCATCACACCTACCATCAGATGTCTAAATGCAGGCATTCTGCTTCTGATACAGATAAAAAGCTTTTCACATTTGGCTTTCCTTTGGAGTCAATGGAGAGAAATAGGCACTTTTAGGCCACTTTGAGACATGTGCTCCAGGATGGAGTAAATCACATGCTCTCAGTGCAAGTGTCTCTCTTCAGGTGCCATAGAGGAAGCCAGTAGTTCAGATATAAATATCAAAAATGTTTATGTCCTAAATTTAATCAGATGAATCCTACAGTGTGTCACAACCTTTCTTCTAGCTTTTATATCTGCATTTTTTTTTTCCTCAAGAAAATGCTTGGTTGGGAACAATCAAATGCTTTGTTATATATGGAAGAATTTCAGCTTTCAAAAGATAGTCTGCGAATGCCATAATATTTACATATATGTGTTGCCTAAATAAGTATAAATTTAAGGATCTGCAGATTCCTAATGTGCAAAACAGTGATTTTTATTTTATTTATTATGTACCCAAAGTACTCATGCAATTATAGGCACAGGCAGGCATATTAGTACATCACTGACTTTCTTAGGAGGAGTAACTGAACATCTGGCTAATCTGCTGCACATCCCTTACATGCATGGATTAAAACTGGCTTTGCTACCTTGGCATCAAAGTGGCTTGGAGTGTGCTCCTTCAGTTCAAAGTGTTTTGATTTTAATGAAGAAAGCACTCTCAATACACTCTTTTGGAATGGTTTTTGTTTTGAAAATGTACATTCGGAGTGGTGAGCTCATTAAAATGAAATTACTTTGAAGTGAAGTAGTGCATTCCCAGCCACTTAGATGCAAGGAAAGGTTAGGTGGTTTAAATGCAGAGGAAGAAGCTGATCTGTGCAACATATCTTCAGGATAAGTAATTATTTTCTTTTTTTTTTTTGTGAAAAAAAAAATGCTAGAGGCAGTAGATACCTGCTGCCTGACTATGTGAGGAGACTTGCATCGTTACCTTTGTGGAAGAAGAATGACGGATTCTTTCAAGGGAACTATGGTTAGTGTAGCG